GTGTGTGCATGTGTGCGCGTGTGCGTGCTTATTTTGAAAATTCTTAATGTTATTTGATTATTTAAAACAAGATAAGTCTAGCTGGCCAGAAGGCAAGATTGATCTATCCGATGAGAATACTCACAACAAGACAGTTCACCAGTGTAACGAATAAGTGGTGTACACATATTGCTTAACATTATACCTCAAAATTGATAGGTGAGTACCTATCAACTTTGGTGTGGTTTTGTGATACATTGAACGACTGCAACAATTGGGTTTTAGAATAGCCTTAATTCATCTTGCATTATTTTGTACTACATTACAATTTTTAACTTTATAATTATCTTAGTAATCTTAACAACTCTACATCTTGCTTTTATTAAATATTATCTAACATTAATTTTATTTTGATTTAAAATGTCTGTCATTAAAAATTATATTGTCTTAAACTTTTAAATATTTCAATCACTTTTCTTTTTCGGTATTTAACAAAATCTTTATAATTATTTAATAGTTGTGCCAAATTTTATAGAATAAGAGAGCATGTCTCTTTTAATGATACGAGGTTGGGAGGATCATAAGAGATTTTATAACGAAATTTTGCAACTATTCAACCAATCAATGCGCGAAAATAATGCTATATCCAAATTCAAACGTTTAAAAAACGATCAAACGCTTCAAGGAAACCAGCAGGAAAAATCCAATATTTGAACGCCCAACATCAGTAACTAATGAAGAAAAGCAAATGGATATTACGCAATTATTCGTTGAAGATTCACATCTCATCGTTTGTAAAGCAACACGACATTACTATAGGAGCAATGCACAAAATCTTAAAAAAACTTAGATTTCATCCATTCAAAATTCGCTTTGTACAAGAAAATAAACGAAGAAGATTTTTATCGACGACGCTTGGAATTTTGTGAGGTAATGATCACAAAAGATGTCAATCCAAACTTTCTTTATCAAATATTTTCAGACGAAGTTACTTTTCAGTTAAATGGCAATGTCAACAGATATAATTGTAGATTCTGAAACGACAATTTTCACTGGATGATGAAATCTCACACTCAATATCCAGAAAAAAATGCATCATCTAGGCGAGTGTTCTGAAAAATCAAATAATTGGTCCATTTTTTATTGAGAGTGACTTGACAACAGCGAAATATGAAGAAATACTGAGAAATGAGATAGTTGTTGCAATTCAGCAAATTGTGATAACTTTGCGCAAACGATTTCAGCAGGCTAGCGCGGCATCTCATTTCGGTAGAGACATTCTAACTATTTGAATACGGAAATATAAACATAATTGATGGAGATAGATCAAAGAGCAGAAATCGAGTGACTACGACAATCGTTCGATTTATCGCTTCTAGATTTCTTCCTGCGGGGTTATCTAAAAAGCAAAATTTTTAAGATAAGCCCAAGAAATCTTAATGATCTTCGCCAATGAATCGTCGATAAAGCTGTGTAGATTGATCCTAATTTCATTAAGAATGCTGTGTTTACTTTTCATGATCGAATAGCACATTTCCAAATGGCGCACATTTCGAACATTTTGAACATTTCTGAAGTAAAAATTTAGATTCATCCACCCATCTTGTCTTCACTAGTTGGACAGACCCATTCTGCTTGGATGGATATATCTTGCCTTCACTGATTGGATCATCTTGTCTTCACTGATTTCATCATCCTCCAATCTTGCTTTCATTGGCTGGATCAATCACTAATCTTCCTGCGAACATAAAAAAGGTGTAAATCTGATCGAGCAACGTCCACGCGATGCATCTTGGATAATGCTAATGGCGACGGTACTGTAACCTTCGAGCCTCATAATTCGAAAAATATTTAATGAAAAATATTTCATGTTTTAAATGTAATGTTTTGAAAAGCTCTTGACATCTGCTATTACACTCTGGAATTAAAAATAGGGTATTCTTTTAAAAAAAACGGTTTGACCTTGACATGACTTAGGCAACGCCATCCATAAATTGATAATATCAGTAAATAGATCTTTTTAAATCTTACAATTTTTGTCTAAAGTATTTCTTCTAGAAATATCATTCTTTCAAATAAATCCGGAATTTCGGCTTTTATTGAAGACCCTGTATATTGGTTATGATACTGTGATGCATAGAAAAAGATTATCTAATAATTATTGCAGTTAATTACAGACTTCTTTTTTTAATAAAAAATAAAAGGGAGTAGTAAAATTTTGTTTTTTTTAAATAATTAATTAACGCGACATAACTCTTAGTCTGGACACAAGTTTATTAGCCATAGAGTTCTACTAATCATTCTATAGGTAGAAGTTCATCCATTCAAGTATAGTATATAAAACCAATGTAATTTACAATCTACTGAAGAGGGAAAAAAGGATGAAAAGTGTGCATCACAGCGGGACCCCATCACGAACCAGTCGTGAAGATTCGTAATTATTATTTTTGTGAAAAACATTATCTCAGTCAATCATTGAACCTGGAACCTCTGTTTACCGGCAGGTATCTTACCCTTTCGATTACTGAAGCAATATGGTAATATTTATCACAATAACATGTTTAGAATAACAATACGCTAAATAATACAATATTATCAGGAGACACGGTAGTGTGTCGGGTGTCAAGTCAACCGAGAACATTACCGTGTGACTCTACGCGGCGAAATGCAAGCATCCGAAATTATCGAATCTCAATAACGACTAAACGAATCAAGTTCTAAGTAGGTTTGATCAGTAGCTTGAGTTGGATTTCCATAATAAAAGTATTTTATTTTTCTGCTACGAGCGGAGATGTTGCTACGCAAAGTCCGATTTGAAAATTTTTACTTTAAGAAACATCGTCATTATTGTCGTCGCCTATGTACGTTTGTCAAAACACTATTAATCTTATCGATCCAGCGGATCATCAGACTGATAAGTCAGAGTCACTGTAGGATCTAGCGAATCAATGTTCGCTGGGTCCTGCAATGATCCTGACTTATTGGCTTGATTTATTCGCAGGGTCGATAAGACTGTAATGTAATAAATACGCATGCATCAAAACGGACACATTAGCAATATATCTAATAAACACACTATTTCTTTTTTCCATCTTTCTTCTCTCTTTCTCTAATTTAGAAAGAAATGCATAAATTATATTATATCTTTATCATTATATTGTTCGTCCGTATAGATTTTTATATCTATATAAACATATATTTCGTAACATATTGTGCTTCGAATTATAAATTATGCTAAGTAATTGGTCGAGTATTCTTCTCGTACAATCATTTGCAATCATAATTTATGCACATTTAAATGTTTCTAGATTATTACTAATATGTTCCTTTTGATAAGCGCATATTTATCATTATTAATCTTATCGATCCAGCAAATCATCAGACTGATAATTAGGATCACTGAGGATCTAGCAAATCATTGGCGGACAGAATACAGTATGTTTCGTGTAAAATTGGTTAATGTATCTCTAAGTACAGTCTCTGCTCCTTATGTCATGATTCTGATTGACTGATTATTAATACGCACAACGAGATTAAGAAAATAGGAAACAAAGGAGTAAGCGAGATAGTAAGCTTGTTACTATTTTTCCGCGCGTCCGATTGGCGGTCAACGATGTCGTTGAGTTTCGCGGCGAGTTTGACAGTTGGTGATAATTTGCTTTGGAGTATAAGTGACTGATGTTTATGCGTCATAATCTGTTATGTTGTAGGTTCTAAGCAATCTAAATATTGTCATTTTGATATTGCTCTTTTACGCGTTTGTACTTTTTTCCAGAAATCAAAGCTAGAAGTGTTCAGATACTATGATTTGTACAGATTGTTGTGCAACTCTTGACCATTATATATGATTTGTTTAAACAATATATCAAAAAGATATATTTAATAATTATTATTCTTATTATTTGTTTAAAACACATATTAAAATGATATATTTAATAATTATTAATAAAATTGAATTATCTTCTCGTACAATTATTTGCAATCATTATTTATTAAGGAAAAATATTAAAAAGCACAAACATATACATATATAAAAATACAACACAATGAAAAATACATGCATTCAAAATAACAGTATTCATATTGCTTCTTAGAATATTACGCTTACTTAAAAGATAATAGATTATGGCGCATAAACATCATTTACATTCCGAAACAAACTATGACCAATTATCAAACTCGCCGCGAATCTCAGCGACATCATCGACTGCCAATTGAACACGTGGAAGAAGAGCAAATATGCTATCTTGCTTATTCTTTCGTTCTCTATCCTATTTACTCTCATTGTGTGTATTATAGAAAAAAAATGTCAAGGGTATAAAAGATGTCTTTATAAACACATCTTTCGAACACAGAAAAATGATTAATACTACAAAATGTCTGATATCAGATAATCAGATATCTATAAAATTACCTTTTTAAAAAAAGATAAAAAAGAGTGTCAACCCCAACTATAATGGACGCTTGAAAAAAAACTGTTGTACCAAATTAAAAAATAGAATCCGACTGACAATATCTTATATTTTAAAGAAATAGGATCTAAGTGGTACGTATCTTTGTATATATTCTCGAATCCTCATGACCAGTACTCCAGTAAACTGGAGGGTGGGGGCGGGGAGCAT